CTAAACAGTCTCACTGTCTGCCTAGAAATCAGGCCCAAGTACAGTGTGGGGTCGCCGCCCCCTGTGGGCTGGCTCCTCGGCTGCTGTCACCTAGGGCGCCCTCTGGTGCTGGGTGTAGGAACTCCACCCCTCCGTGCTCTGCGTGTCCAGAATCCCCCTACCCCAGGACACCGTCATGTGGATTAGGGGCCTATACGACTCCAGGACAGCCTGGGATGACGGATCACGTCTGCAATGACCTTGTTTCCCAATAAGGTCACATTCTGAGGCTCTAGGGATTAGGACTTCAACATATGAATTTGGGAGCCAGGGACGTAATTCAGCCCATGACACTGATTCTCCTTAAAGCAGAACTCTGGGCCACCTGGTTGGTCCCTCCAGGATGACCACGGGTGTAAGGTCATGGCCCTGAGTCCGTCCCCAGCTGCCCCACCACTCACTATGTCCCTTGCTTGGCTCTGAAAACAATTGAGGCAGAGAATTAAGGACGGACATGGGGACCCGTGAGACAAGTGCCAGCGCACAGGGCAGGGCTCCCCCGGTGGGGCTCCCGCCACATCCGTCCCCAGCATGAGCGCCTCGGGACAGCAGGCCAAACCCTAAGACAGCGGACGACTCAGAGGACGTTTTCGGGGGGGTGGGGTGGGGTGAAAGGCCAGGGCACTGCTGATGGGAGGAGGTGTGGCCCACGGGGGCCCAGCCTGGCCAAGGCCCGGGTCGGCTGCGGTCACCCTGGCCTGGGCATTCCCAGTGCCTCTCCTGCCCGCCCCGCCAGGGCATGGCTTGGGAGAGCGCAGGAAAGCTGCACGGATTCCAAGGCATTCTGGAACCTTCCAGAAAGTTCCCTGCTGGAGGCCAGGGTTTCCTCCCGTTTGAACTTGCTGCTGCCGGACTCTCTTTGCTCTTCTTTGCCAGAGCCTGCCTTCGTGGTCTTGTTTTCTGATTTTGTGTAGCTGTTTGTTTGTTTTGTTTTATCGAGGCTGGGGACCGAACCCAGGGCCTTGCACATGCCAGGCAAATGCTCTACCCCAATCCTTGTCCCCAGCCCAGAGGCCCGTATTTGAGTTCAGACAGGTGAAGCATGACAAGACGGCTCCTCCACGGTCTCCTCCCCATTTCACAGAGGTGGACACTGAGGTCCAGACAAGGGAAGGGGCTTGTCCCGTCTTCAGGGCTTGGAGACTGCGATTAGAGCCCGGTGTTCCACAGCCAGGCTGGGGTCACCGGGAGGGTTTGTCCCAACGGTCGCCCCAGCTTCTCCTGGGGTCTGCCCCTGTTCCCACCCATTCAGATACACACCCCCACAAGCCACACAGCACCCCGTGCCTCTCCAGGTTGGTCATAGAAGATGCCAAAGGACCCGAGGTCACCCTGCAAATCCTAAGCGACAGCCTGCTACAGGTCACGCTGTGCTGCAAACTGTACCTCTCACTCCAGGAGTAAGTACACGTGGGCTTCCTCACCACCCAGACCTGCACTGCCAGGACGCCAGCCAAAGCCACGGGCCACGTGTCACCACAAGGACCCTGATAGTCCTTTCTATCCGTGCACGTTTGAAAGCCATTTTGCTGGTGGGAAAAATGAAGCACAGAATGGGAAAGGGACTTGCCTGGATCACACAGCGAGTCATCCAGCCTTCTGACTCCATGCTGGGGGACACACACCCCCTCTGGGCACCTGGGAAGCTCGGGGCACTAATAGCGTGGCCTGAGGAGGGTCTGATACGCACTCACCTGGAGGCTGGCACTCCTGGGCTAGGCAACTGACCAGGCAGGTCTGCTCCCTGGCCTCGGTTTCCTCATCTGTGAAATGGGCACGGGGCCCCCTGCACTAAGTGGTACTGAGTGTTCATCTGCAAAACTCAGAAATGCCACAGAGCAGCCCGTGGACCACTGTTTGCCCAGGAAGCAGGAAAACTCATGGATGCCCTTCAGCTACACGTCCACCCCCCCTTTTCCTTGTAAAATATCTTCCTTCCCCTTGTCGGGTGGCGCTGTCAACGTGCTGAGTGACCATCGTCCTGGTGGGGGCTGTAGCAAGCAGAGGAGCCTGAGGCCCACCCCAAGGCCACCCTCAGCTCCAAGTGTGGGTCCCCTGTGAGGGTGCCGTCAGGTCCCCCGGTTGTCCCTGTTTTAAGGAGCTCCCCTGATTTTCAATCTGAGTCCTCGGGGCAACCGTGAGGCTGGCTGTGACGTCCTGCCTCGACCTCGGGCCCGGTTAGAGCCTGTCCCACACACCGTCCCTCCAGGATCCTGCGGCTCAAAGTCATCAAGAACATTCGCATGGGGGTGCGGCTGGAGCAGACGGGGAACAGGACCACAGTGGCCTTGGAGGAGTGCCACACCCCTCCCGGGAGCCTGAGCGTGGAGATCCTGGGGCAGTGAGTGGCAGAGCCCGGGCCCACTCCTCCTGAGCTGACCGACCTCGGAGACCCAGGGCTGGGACTGCTGCCTCTCCCTAGGGTCTAGAGTGCCCAGGGCATGGGGGACAGGGTCATCTCCAAGGCCGCAGGCTGACAGGCCACCTGTCCCCATCTCCTGCCTCCACACTGGATGTCATGGCTGAGAGCCGCCACCTCGGGCAGGCTCAGACCTCCGCCTGGTCCCTTCCTACAGGGAGGACCTGCCCAGGCTGCCCCGCTCCTGGCCTCGGGTTCCCCACCAGAAAATGAGGTGCCCCCGCCACCCGCCAGCGGGGCGGCATGGGGAGGGGTCAGCCAAGGCCCACCCAGCGCAGGAGCTGCCGCAGGAGGTGACGCTGCCTGTCGATCTCATGGGGACGCACCCCGTGCAGAACGTCCTCCGGGAGGCCTTCCGTGGCCTCTGCGGCCAGCTAGATCTCTGTGCCATGGACCCTACCAAAGAGAGAAGGGAAGAGAATCAGGAGAAAGTAGAGTCGGCAGGAGAGAAAGAGGGGGGACGAGCAGACCGCAAAGCGGAGAGAGAGGACAGGAGGGCGGCACCCGGGAAGGGAGAGGCCAAGCCACCCAGGCCAGCAGGGGCCCCTCAGCCCAGCCCGGTCTCCCCTCTCTGACCCATGCCTGCCCTTGCACAGTGTGTCGGGTCCCACAGCTGTCCCCTTCCCCTAGGACAGACGCCCTCCTGGTGGACAAACCTCTGGAGTTGGTGGCCGGCGTCCTGGACCACTCCCTGCCCTTCCTGCTGCAGAAGATGGTGAGTGGCCCTCTGCCCTGCCTCCTGCCCGCACCAAGGGAGCACGCCGGCCGTGACCCCATGCTAAGGAGGACCCGTGTCGTCCCCCAGGTATGTCCCCCGGCCACGGCCCTGCTCAGCTCCCTGCTGGAAGACCTACTGACCATCGTCCTCCGTAGGTCACTGCTGCTCAGGGCAGAGGCGTCCACTCCCCCGCCCGGCGCCAGGCACTGTTCTAGGCTCTGGGAATGCGACTGGGACAAGGCAGACCTCCCGCAGGGACCCTGCTTTCTAGTGGGGGGAAGGGGCCATGTCACTGGTGACCTTGACAGTCCTTGACCCTCTGAGCCCCTGTTTCCCTGTCTGATTCAAGGGGCCCACAGAGCAGGGCCGCTGGGTGACCCACAATCCTGCACGAAGCTGCCGCTCACTTTGTTCTAAGATGCACAAGCGCAGCCATCTCAAGGCTGGGGGTCGGGGGGACCTTCCTCCTGCCCCCACCCCTCCCCTGCCGTGGGCTGAGCCCTGGTTCTGTGTCCACCTAGCCCCGGCCATCTCGGGCCCAGAGGACGTCCAATACTATGTCACCACCACGGAGTTCAGGGAGGAGGCCATCCTGATGAGAGTCCAGGTGAGCGGCCCTTGGCCAGCAGACCCTCTGGGGACCAGTGGTCCAGGGGAGATGGACGAGGGGGTCAAGGAGATGGGAGGCAGAGGAGGAGGAGGGAGGAAGGAGGAGGAAGGGAGGAGGAGGAGGAGGAGGAAGGGAGGAGGAGGAGGAGGAAGGGAGGAGGAGGAGGAGGAGGAGGCGGAGGAGGAGGAGGAAGGGAGGAGGAGGAGGAGGAAGGGAGGAGGAGGAGGAGGAGGAGGCAGAGGAGGAGGAGGCAGAGGAGGAGGAGGAGGAAGGGAGGAGGAGGAGGAGGCAGAGGAGGAGGAGGAGGAAGGGGGAGGAGGAGGAGGCAGAGGAGGAGGAGGAGGAAGGGAGGAGGAGGAGGAGGCAGAGGAGGAGGAGGCAGAGGAGGAGGAGGCAGAGGAGGAGGAGGAGGAAGGGGGAGGAGGCCCGTGGCCCCGGAGCTCACCCAGGGCTGCCTGGCCAGCGAGGGGGGCTCAGCTCTGTCCCAACACTCCCACCCGGGAGGTCCCCCCACCTGGGGAACCGCGGTGTCTGCCCCACTTCTGTCCCCTGCTCCTTGGGACACAGGAGGTGGCAGGATGCGGAATCTGCCTGGGTCCCATGGGGCCCTTCGGACAAAGGCACAGAGAAAAGGGTGGGATCAAACCAGGGGGACGCGAGGAGCCAGGCCCCGGCCGGGAGCTGCTCGGCTCAATGTCCCCTTCCTTCTTCTCTCTGAAGCTTGTGACCCCCTGTGGCCCGGGCCAGAGGGCCCCAAGGCCTGACCACCTGGCCCCGCGACCCCTCCCACCATTAGCCCCAGGCAGCATGGCGGACCTGGTCTTTCAGATGGAGCTCTACAACGACATCCTGTCCTGCCTCTACGCGAGCAAGGAAGTCCTCGTGGCCCCCCAGGACCCCGCAGTGAGTGCTCGAGGGGTGGGGGCGGAAGGGCCTTCACCAGGAAGAAACTAAGGCCCAGTGGCAAAGTGCTGTCCTGGGCCCACACAAGTCGCCCGTGCCCTGGGCTCACCTGGGGACTCCTAAGTCACCCTCAGAACCCCGCACAGAAGCCCCTCGCCGGAGACGTCGCTGCTCACAGCCCTTACTGCCCCTCTTCATCCGCAGCACTCAGCGGCAAATGTTTGTTGAAGGCCTACCATGTCCTGGGTCCCATGCCCCTGCAGAGCTCAGGGCCTCGTGGGGACTAGACACTGAACAATGAAATAGCCTGGTACACAAACAGCTTATTTTATTTAAAAGAAGCAGGGCACTGGGGTAGCCAGTGGCTGGTGATAGCCAAAGGGCCACTGTGGACAGCGCAGTGTGTGACGATATCTCCAAGAAGTGGCCTAGACAGAGCAAGGAAGCACACACTCAGAGGTCCACAAGAAAAGCCAGTTCCCAGGGTGGATGGGGATCAAACGAGCAAGAAACACAGATGGATCCACCCAGAATAAAGTCTCCTTCCTGCAGCTTCAGGGTTCTGTGCCATCTGACCCCTGTCCCTCTCTCTAGCCCCACCATTCCAGCCACACAGGCTGAACTGGCTCCTACCTCAGGGCCTTTGCACCTACTGTTCTCTGCCTGGAACACTCTTCTCTCCACTGTTGGTCTCAGTTCAAACGTCACCTGCTCAGAAAGCACCTTCCTGACCTCTTCCAATCCCACCAAAACACTGGTCACATTCTAACTTTATATATACACACGTGTATATAAGGTTATATATGCAAAGTGGAAAATTTCACTTTTTTTTTTTTGCATGAATCTGGTTCATGGAAAAAAACAAACAAAAAAAACTATGTAAAATAGTGTGTACAAACCAAGGCCCAGATAGGGCAAGTGATGTGTCTAAGGTCACCCAGCAGGTCACATCTGGACTACAGCCAGGCCTCCTGCCTCGCCCTGCTGCCCCCCCCCCCCCCCGTCCCCTCTGTCCCACAGAAGTGTGGAGCCCTGAGACAGTTAGGTGGAAGCCCGTGATCCCTTGTCTGCAGAAGTTCTTGTGCCCGTGGACGGGGGTCGATGTGCCAGGGTACTCTTTGCAGCCCCACTTGTGATAGGAGGGAAAGCGCCGTTGACGTGGGCGTCTGGCCACATACAGCAGGTCTGGGTGGGTGTGGCAGAATGGAGTGTGCTAAGGAGGATTCGTGTCACCTCAGGTGGGACCAGGAGGCAGTGCATGTGGCCAGCAGGTTCCCAAGTGACTCTGACGTTCTCCCGATTAGCATGTTCCCACGTGGCGTGGGAAAGTCCCCTGGGTGGGGGTGTCCCCATTTATGGCTTGTACAAGGCAAAGCGACCCAGGAGGTCGTCCGGGAACCCGTGCTGAGTGACGTGATCCACGTGACGGTCTCTCCACGTCGCCGTGTAGGAGTTCTCAGAATCAGCTGAGAGAAAAACCGTGGAAACAAGGAGAAGTTGAGTTTCCAGACGGACCCTACGGAGACGCTGGGCGCGGGCCCCTGTCCTACAGAGACCGGCCACAGCGCAGGCGGCGTCCCCGTCCCCGGGGCTACAGGACATGCACACACACTCTGTCCTTTTTCCAGGCTGCTGACCTGGTCCAGCTGCTGTCCCCGGGAGAGCTGGAGCCCGGGCCCACGGTAGGGGCACTGCCAGCGCCCTGGCCGGTGTCAGGGAAGGTTCTGGAACGGGTCGGGGCTGGGCGGGCTCCATCTGGCCAGGGCTCCCCGCCGGGGACTCCAGAAATCCCTGACCTGCCTCCCAGGCCTGGGGAGGAAACGAGGGACAGCAAATGCACGCCTGAGGTGCTGCCAGCACAGGTGACCGTGACCTTGAGGAGCCCCACCCGCTGGGCAGGGCAGTGTGCGGCCCTCCACCGGGTCAGGTCCCCCCTTCAGAGGCTCAACCAGGGAAGTCACTTGTCACCTCACATTGCGAAGCGCATGGCAGAACCGGGATTTGAAACCAGCCTCTGGCCCCCAAGTCCAAGCTCAGTGCCCTCTTCAAAGGCTTTTGGAATGTGGCATTGAGTGGGCAGTGACAATAACAATGACCACAAGTGCTGGCAAGTGTGTAGCATTCCCAGGAGCAGGTTCTCCCAGCACTTAGGGGAGGGAACTGAGTAAGCTCCTTTAATCCCTCCCGGCTTTATGGGTAGGTGCACAGAGAGATTGAGAAACTTGCCTCAGGTCACACAGCTTGACAGGGGGTAGGACTAGGACTCTGGTGCCCATAATTTATGTTCTTAGTTTAAGTATGAACAGGACAAAGAGGATGTAATCCCACATCTGAAAAGTTCAGAGAGGGTAAGCGACCTCCCCAAGGTCTCACAGCAAGCTGCTGCGGAGCTAGAATGAAAATCCAGACGCCCTGCCTCCGAAGATGGTCTTGTTCCCATTCTCTGAGCTGAGGCCCAGGGACCATCTCCCGGCCACGGCTTCACCGTCTCTGCTCTAACTTCCTTCAGGCTTCTGATGGGTCCAGAGGGAGCGTGGGACTGACCATCAACACTCCGGATCCTCCCACTGTCCATCTGAACGGCCACACAGCTATGGTCACCCAGCCGGGCTCCCTGGTACTGCTGGGGCCCAACAACACCTCCAGCTCCATTTCCTGGGTGAGTGAGGCTCGAAGGTGGTTGTTCCAGGGGGTCCTGGGCCCGCTGACCGTGGGCAGGGTAACAGGAGGGCAGGGCAGATCTCACCACCGTGTCGTCAGTTGACATTCAGTCACACTCAGGCCACCGTGCCCACTGCCAGGACGTGAAGCCCACTAGCACCTGCTCCCGGAGTCCACCCCCAGGGCTGCCCACTGGTGTCCTCAGAACTGAAGGGTCGTGTCCCCGCCCCTCAGCTCTGCACTCCTGCTGGGTGACCAAGGTCCCTGCACCGTCTCCCTGGGCATCAAGGCATTAGGAGCCCAGGAAGAGGCCGGGTCCTCCATGCCCCAGGGCCAGCCAGGCTGAGAGGGCAGCCCGGGGGCCTGGGGGACAGACAGCCCCTGGTTGTCTCTTGATTCTGTTCCCCTGAGGTGACCACTTCCCATTTAACAGACCTGGTGCCTCAGATAAGGGGCCGGGGGTCCGTGAGTCCTCGGGGTCCCTGGAGCCTGTTGTAAGATTCCGTGGCCCAGAAGCTGGCCACGTCTGGCTGGTGCAAAAAGTCCATTTTTGAAAGGTGAATCTGGAGGGGCCTCCTCACAGCCCAGGGCTCTCTGCTTCCAGAGCCAGGTGCTGGAGACAGTGACGGTCACTGCAAAGGCTCCCCCACCCCCCTGGGCAGCCAGCCCTGGCCTCTCCCCTGGCGGGGCCCACGCTGGCACAGGAGCGGACGGTTCCCCGCCTGGAATACAAATCCCACTCCCCTCCCAACTTCATTCTCTCAATTCCTCCTAGAAACTCCTGTCAAGGGCTGCATTTTCCTCCACAAATCAGAAATTAAAACTCCAGTTCACTCCAAACAGGTAATGTTGTTTGGTTTGGAATGTTCTGGAAAAAAAAAAAAAGACAGCCGACAGCAAGAGTGGAGGGGGAGGGTGTGGTTGTGGGCACAGTCCCACCTGCTGTCAGCATGGGGGGAGGGACGGGCGCTGTGTCCACCCCGCCAGCCCCGACAGCTGCCCTGAACTGAGACCAACCTCCTTCCTCTGATAGTGCCGTGGTCACCCTGGGCCCTTACCCGGCTGTTCTCAAGAAGCAGGTGAGTCCCTTCCCATAGCCTTGGCCTCCCTGTGGTCTCAAAGGACCCAGCGCTGGACAAACCCAAGGTCCCAAGGCACTGGTGCAGCTGGGTGGAAAGGCTCATTCGCTTCCTGTCCCATCTCCTCTCCCACTGGGGTGGCAGGGAGAAGCCTCCGGGCTTCAACTCGCCCCTTACCCTCCCCCTCACACTGAGCCAACACTAACCGAGCACCGACTCTGCCTGGCCCTGCTCAGGGATGTGTTGGGGAGCAGCGAGAAGGTCCCTGCCCTGTGGAAGGCCTGCGTCAGAGGGGTGAGGCCACACTCCCCAGGAGCCGCAGTAGGGCACATTGTAGAGCACCTCATAGGCCACAGGCAACCGGGGGGAGGGGACAGGGGATCAGGCATATGGGTTGGGGTCAGACTGAAAAGGAAGGTCTGCGAAGGCCTCGCTGACAAGCTGAGACTCAGAGAAGAAGTGGGAAGAAGTGGACCCAGGCCTCTGGCCAGGCGTGCCTGATGGACAGGTGGCTGTCGCAGGGACAGTGAAGAGGGTCACAGAGGGGGCAGGGCCAGGCTCACAGCAGGGGTGGCCGGTCCTCTGAGTGAGCCAGGAGCTATGGAAGGGAGTGTCGAAGCAGAGGAGGCTCAGACTGGAGGGCCAGGTGGAGGCCGGGAGCCAGGAAGAAGGCTGGCAGGAGGTGCAGCCCAGCACTGGAGAGGCCCTGAGTGAGGAGCTGGTGGCACTGGAGGGCAGCAGTCAGTTATGGGTGTGCTCGAAGGTGGCACTAAAGGGACCTCTCAGTGGAGCCGATGTGGGGGAAGAGCGGTGTCCAGAGCCAGGTTTTCCACGGGCACCTCATCCCCTGCATGTTGAGGACAGCCACGCAGGGCTCCCTGCTGCACGGGACTGGCCTGAGCCCCCTGCTCACAAGGGAGGAGAGGGGGAGGCCTCTTCCAGGGCCCAGGGCCCAGGGCCAGGTGCCTGTGTAGAAGGGCCAGGGGCACGCTCCGTTCTCAGCCTCCTCCGTGTCCCCGGGGCCAGCAGGGACAGCCCTTCAGTCTTTGCTTTGAGTGTGAGGAAATGTGGGATGAGAAAACAGTTCTCGGCACGTCGTCCTTAACTCCAGCCAGGCCAGAGCACAACCCCGGCCAACACGACAAATGTCACCACCCGCGCCACCTTGGACCTTCCTCCCTCCATCTCTACCTCACAGAGTCCCAGGGCTGGAGGTCCCGAGGATCATGTGCCTGGGTCAGGGACTTCTGTGACACCCCAGGGGCAGTCCTCAGACCAGGCTGCCATGCATGTGGTCAGACAAGCCACGGCTGTCCGTGCCACCTGCGTCATAGACACCACCTACCTCCTGTGACCACCTCCCGGGGGATAGGAGGAGGGCGATGAAGAGGAGGGGCCTTTCCCAACCTGTCCGCCTGGGTTGGGACCATCCTGATCGGGACCCCTCAGCACGTCCTCAGTGACAGGGGGTGGCAGCTCCCCGTGTGACATTACTGGCACCTCTCAGCCTTAGAGAGCTCCCTCGATTGTCCCCAGTGGGCACCTGTGAGGCTTTGGCCCTGGGCTCCACAGACCAACCAGTTTCTCCCCCAGAGAGTCCACAGGGTGAGGGTGTCTCTTTCTGGGGCCCTCCATGTCCCCCAGTCCCTTCACCAGTCTGGCCAGCTGGCTCCAAGGTCCTTCAAAAGTGCGATCTCCATGTTGTCCCCATGGGCATCTGTGCACTGGGTCCTTCGTCCCTGTGGGCAGGATCTGCCAGCCCAGCCGAGGGGACATTCCTGGAGGTGACCTTCCTGTCCCCCTTGCTCTGCTGCAGGAGGAGCAGCTGCGGGCTTCTCTCTCTGGGTTCCTGAAGAGGAGGTTCCTGCCCCTTCACAACGGTAAGCCCCATGTGACTCTCCGCCATGCCACAGGTCACATGGCTTGCAGCAGCTCCAAACAAGTCCAAAGGGCCTTGTCCCCAGGTGGGCTGAGAACTATCTCAGGGAAGGCAGGCGGCAGGGCAGACACTGGACCTGGTGTGACGGGCAAGTGCCCTCTTGTCCTGCCGGGTGGCTGTGTGAGGGCAGCTGGGAATGGAGTCGGGCATGGCTGCTCGGGAGGGGGAGGCTGGCGTTCGGCAGAAGAGCCTGGAGGTGAGGCAGCCCGGCAGAGCACCAGCTGGGCCTCGGGAGGCCACGGGAAGGGGCGGCTCGTCAGTGACCGCGCACAGGGCAGGGATCCTGACCTGAGAGATGCGGAGAGCAGCACTTCATCTTCACCCCAATGCCGGACACTTGTTAGCACGAAAAGACGGGCCAGACGCAGGATCAGGGATCAGCTGCCAGCAAGGGGCCATCTCGGCCTTTTACTCAGGGAAGAGACTGCACCTCCAAAGGGCCACTTCCCTGCGGGAAAACGAGCCTCTGCTCTCAGGAGGGGCCGGGCTTGACTAGGCTATCCTGAGAGGTGACTTGGTGAGCGGGTCAGCTGGACGTGGGGAATTTGAACTTGGGGCCGGGGGTCTGTGCTCAGCACCTGGAGACGGTTTTTTGGGGAGAGGTGAGAGTGGGCGGCGTCTGGCTCTTTCTCACTCCCTTCTCCCAGGCCTCGCCATTGGGGGCTTGTCTTTTTTCTAACTAATAATACTAGGAAGAAATTCAAGCTCTTCCACAGTCTCCCTGGGGCTCCCCCAAAAGCAGGCCCCGGGAAGGAAGGCTGGTCTGGGTGAAGCAAGAAAGCCTGTCCAGGCAGCAGTGGGGAAGGCCGTTTGGGGCCGGGAAGCTGCAGGTGGCCCCTGGGAGACTGATCTGTCAGAGCCTCAGAGCCCTCCCCCACCTGCCCCTGCTCCAACCTGTCGCCAAGGTGACCTGTCCCAGGGATTGTCCCTCCCTATTGGAGCTGAAAAGTCTGTTAGTTGATGTCTCCTGGGCTTTCGGCAGGAATACTCCTCTTGACCCTGCCCCAGTCCATTTGCTCCTCACCTTTTAGCCACCCTCCGGCGCCTCCTGGGCCTGGTCACACGCAGAAGGAGAGAGGCAAGGGGAGGAGGCAGGAGAACCAAGAAAGACCAGGAAGCCTAAGAGGGACAGGGCACCCTCCTAGGGACACCAGGACACCAGCCGTAGCCCTCCTCTCCCTCCCGGGAGAAGTCTGTGTCACTACTTTATAAATAAACCCCTGTGTGATGTGAAAAAATAAGAATTAAAACCCAAGACAGTGAGACCCGAGGGAGGAAGTGGGGAGGCCACCTTGACGGCCTTCTCCTCTCCCAAGAGGAACCCTCCCGGTGCTGCCGCGGCCGGAGAAAGCGTCTCATCGTATCTCACAGTGACAGTCTCTAGAAAACACTGATCCCTCTCCAAGTGCTGGCCACCCACCCCCAGCCCAAGGACTCAAGTTCCTGAGTGACACGCTCGCTAAGTCACCCACAGCCTATACAAGCCCAGCCCCCTCCTTGGTTCAGTGGCTCATTTTCCACCAGAAAGTGGGTCCGTTCCCGTAGGTCAGTCCCGTTCCTGGACAGAAGGCAGGAATGATCTGTGACATGTGTCTGGCCTGGTCTCTGTGCCGCCTGCCTCCGCGTCCCTGTCCAGTGTTCAAACTTCCACCCGTGGGCCGCAGGACTCGCCACCGTAACCGGCGGTATCCTGGGGAAGTGAGCCGGGAAGACCGCGTGCAGCTGGGGCTCAGTGCTACAGAGATGAACTCGGCCTCCCGGCCTCAGCCTCCCCTGCAGTGAGCGGGGCCATCACCATTCGCCATGTGATGATTTAAGTGTCTGCACCCCAACCAGAGGGTGAGCTGCCTGAGAGCAGAGCCCCCAGGTCTCCCATGCATCCAGCACTCTGCCCAGTGCCTCACGCCCCGAAGACACTCATGTAGGATAAACAGACCGAATCTGCTCACCCCCTGGCTCTTCATCTTTCAGATGGAACCATGCCACCAGGTCCAGAGAGGTTAAGTGACTGACCCAAGGTCACATAGCAAGTCTCTGGCAGAGTTGATTCCAGAACCCTGGTTTCTGGCTTCCCCGACAGGAGTCCTTGTGCTGTGGCTCCTGTTAGGACCCCAGGGTAAAGAAGCAGGTGGGCTCCAATGTCAGCCAGACTGAGACCTACGGGGCCAGGGAAGCTGGGCATGAAGTGATAAAATGTGTATTGAGAAGGGGACTAATTGAGGGCAGAGGAGGGTGGTAAGGGAAGACCCAGAGAGGCAGCCAGGTGCCAGGTGAACAGGGGCGCAGCCTGCTGGGGAAAAGGGGTGCTCTTCCTACTGCAGCCTCCCTGCAACGGGAGGCCAGGGCCAAGGCCACTGAGGAATCCCCGAGGGCTGCCTGCAAGAAGCAGCCCAAATAGGAGAATCGGCAGGAGGGCCATCTGGCCTCCACACAGGGAAAGGACCAAGTGGGGCCCAGGGACTGTGGAGAGGCCTCTGCATGGCCTGAGGACAGAAGGAAGACACGCACCTGTCACTCTTCCTCCATCCCACCCCCACCTGCCTGTGCCAGAAGGACACAGTTGGGGGGGGTTACACTCTCCTTCCCTGGGGCCAGGTGACAGTGTGGGTGGGGCTGGCTAAGGGCTGCTCAGCCCTGAAGAGGAGTCTGGGAGCCCAAGCCAGGCCTCAAGTTCAAGTCTAAGGAAGTTTGCAAAAACCAACTGGCGGAGTAGCTAATTCACAGAAACTGAAATTGCAAAATGACCAGTTCTCCACATTTACCAAAAACTTGCTTTAAGGACTCTGGGTAGATAAGTGTATTTGTGAATACACTTATATATTTGATGGATATCATCTTATTAGCAGAATCCAATTTTTAGCGTTTTCAGGTGAATTTTCGGTTTATTCCGACTTTTTTCCAATCCTGTTTTTGAGCCATTCTGTTTCTACTGACATTTCAGCATTTTTTAGGAGCTCAGTATTTCCAGCACAGTTTTCCCACAGCTGAAGAACAATGCGCCTTCCTGAAGGACTCCTGAGAAGCCTCAACAAATTGATCATTCCTTAACGTGCTGCTAAACAGAGGATCTTGGGCCTCTGAGTGCCCCAGGACCCTGGGTTCAATCCCCAGAAGGTTGGGAGGTGGGGGTGTGGCTCACAATGACAGAGGCCGGAGGCCAACCTGGAGCAGCAAGTCTATCCATCCTGCAGAGGAGGCTCATTTTCTGGTGTGGAGGTGGCCCCAGGTTATAGAAGGAGGCTGGGTTTTACAGTTTACCATGAGGGTGAATTACTCACTGGAGCCTGCGGGCAGAGCTGCTGGGACACTCGGGGACCTAGTTGTGCTGGTTGAAATCTGAACTCGGGAAGGCAGTGGTAGGAAGTCACGGGAAGAGCTCACAACTCGGAATCCACTGCTTACCGTCCTTCCTCTGCGACTAGAGCCTCACTCTGTGCTCCTCTCCTTCCAGGGACCATCTGCCATGGGGAAGGTCAAAGCCCAGGGCCGGGGTTCAGTACTGCCCCCTCCCTACAGGCCCCGTTGGGGTTGGGAGGGTAAATGTTTGGTTTGGTGGAGAGGCTGGGGACAGGGCAGGAGGGAGGAGGTTGGCTCTCCCCTCAGGGAGCTGTCTTGTGGAAGGTCATTTTCCAGAGCCTTCCCAGGGGAGCAGGAAGGGTCCTCGGGCCTGGCCCTGCTCACCCCCAGCTCCCCTCCCCGCTCCCCTCTTGCAGCGCAGCTCAGAGGACACAGCCTCCCGCTGCCCAACGTCAAGGGCCTCTCCTTCAACCAGGCCCACATGGACCTCTCCGAGGTAGGTGCAGAGGGAGCCCCTTGCAGGGGAGGTGGGGGGCGGAGGCTCAGTTGGACGATGCGCCTGCGTGGACCCAGCCCTTTGTCCCCCTTTCCTTAATCACCTCTCACAGCTGTCCTGGACGCCAGGCCCCATTACAGATGAGGAGAGCGAGGCTCCCCAGACCTACAGAGACCTTCAGGAAGCCAGACCACAGGGCTCACAAGCTCAACACCTTCCACACATGCAGGACTCTCACAATCAGCTCCATAAAGTCATTTTTATCACGGAGGGAACTAAAGGCTCAGAGAGGCAGAGAAAATGAGAAAACTTGCCCAGCACAGCAGAGCTGGAGTCCAAGGGGCTCATCTGAACTCAAAGCCTATTGTTACCTTAGCCCGGACTACCCACCTCCCTAGAACTCAGGTGTCCCCAGAACAGGGCTATAGTTTACATGACCAATGCCACCAGGAGTTGAGCAGTGCACAACCTACACATCTTTGCATGGCAGGCCTGATGGCCCCTCATTCCTTCATTGCCATTCACTCATTCAGTCAATGTATCTCAGGAAAAGCTCCCAATCTGGTCTGTTCCTTGCTCGCAAGCATCTCCGAGACTCCTTCCCCTCTGCTCAATCCTCTTTGTCCAGCTGGTCCCTGACTCTTCCTTCTTGGAGTGTCCTTGGGACAGGGTGCAGTCCCTCTCTAGAACAGCCTCAGGGAGAGTGGGTTTTATGGGGAGCGCAACTCTGCCTCTGTTCACAGGACTACCTGCTGCTGACCATTCCAGAGTAGCCGGTTCTGACCCAGGACCAGTCCCTGCCCTCAACCACGCATGCTCAGGACCTCCAGGTCAAGAATGGCTGAATCACCGTGGACTTCTCTGTACAATAAAGATGCTTCCTTCTGGAGGAGGAGTCTGCTCTGAGCTCGCTGACCCATGGGGTTCTGGGAGGCGGGGGGCTGTGTCCAGCTATTTAAATGAAGCCCGTGGTCCTGGCTCCTGGGGCCTGGGGGTGGGGGGTCTGAGCTCTGTTCTCAGCTCTTCAAGGAAAGGGAGTTTCCTCCAAAAACAAAGAAAAGCCTGTGAGTTTCCAAAGCCCAGGCCCTGAGCGGATGGGGTGACCGTCGTGCAGGACGGGTGTGCCATGACCATGTGCCATCGTCGGGAGGGTCCCAGAGATGTCAAGTGGCCCAGGCAGAAGGTGGGGAGCAGGGAAAGGCAGGGCACGGGCTGGTGCAGCAGGAAGCCTGGGGCCCGCAGAGCAGAGCAGACACAGCACAGGTCCTCACACCCATCACCTGTCACACCCACAGTAAGGACACAGCCCCCCACAGCTCCCTGAAGGTCTTGGGTTCGAGGGTGGCTCTGCAGCCATGGTGAGCCCAAGGGAGCCTGGGAGCCCCTCCCCAGGGAAGCCCCACCCACCCAGGTCACACCCAGCACCCGCCCAGTACCTGGGGATGCCCACTACACCAGAGGGCTACTGGAGACCCTGCGTACCCCTTCACCAGTGTTAAGGGTCACCCTGCTAAGCAGCGTGTGTGTCCCCATCAGCTTTGCTTCAGGTGACACCTCAAGCACACGGGTCACAGTGGCGAGTTTGTCTATGTTGTTTGGGGTCCTAAGTGTCCGATGGCTGACGTTTTGACATGAAGGGCCACTAGCTGAAAGTGTGTCTTTGAAGAGCCACAAAGTACGACTG